TGATAAAAGTAATTAACTAAATTAATTAATGACAATTATAACCTTAAAATGAGCGGGAAAAGTTGCCCTTAGTGTTTACCAGGAACAACCTTTCTTTTATTAATAAGATTTGAAACGAATTTTCAAATTATAAGAAATATAAATAATTATTATGTTATTTTGTTTTTATTTTATTTTTAGTTTTTAAATAACTCCAAAGTTGAGTGCTAGTTCAAATTTCTTTCATTAGTAGACTACTTTGGCCATTACTCATTAGTCATTAGTGTTATTTGTATAAGTAAATAGCAACAAATATGCAAAATAATAAAATAAATAAATCATATAATTTGGTTTACTTGAGTTGAGCCATAGTGAGTTGGAGTTGGCCGAAAAACTTTTCGAACTCACATAAATGACTAATTTGACCCAACTCGTATTAATTAGGTTTCGATTGAAATACAATCAGATCAAATCATTAGGTTTCGATGGAGTTGGCCGATAAACTTTTTAACTCACATAAATGATTGATTTGAACCTACTCATATTAATTAGGTTTCCACTAAAATAAAATCAGACCAAATCATTAGGTTTCGATGGAGTCGGCGCGGCCGATAAACCTTTCGAACTCACATAAATGACTAATTTGACCCGGCTCATATTAATTAGGTTTCCGCTGAAAAGAAAACTAGAACGAATCATTAGGTTTTGGTGGAGTCGGCCGATAAACTTTTCGAACACACATAAATGACTGATTTGACCCTACTCGTATTAATTAGGTTTCGACCAATATAAAATCACATCGAATCATTAGGTTTCAATAGAGTCGGCCGATAAACTATTCGAACTCACATAAATGACTAATTTGACCCTACTAGTATTAATTAGGTTTCGACCGAAATAAAATCGAATCGAATCATTAGGTTTCGAAGGAGTCGGCTTTTCAAACTCACATAAAACGATTGATTTGACCCGACCCATATTAATTAGGGTTCGACTGAACAAATCATTAGGTTTCGGGTACGCCCGTCTCAATCACAGTGGCAAAAATGTAAATACCTTAACATCTTGCTCCAAATCCAACGGTTGAAATGGAAATACCTTAACACCTTGCTCCAAATCAAACGGTTGAAATTCACTCAACTGGCCTCAAAGGGTTTTATTATAGTAGTTACAAAAACTCCCAATCAAATTGTGCACACAAACACACGCCTCCTCTCGTGGGATAACCGCTTCGCCATCTTCTTCTTCTTCTTCTTCAGAGTGAGGGAGATTGTGGGTTTTCAGTTTTATCCATTTTCGATTGAAGCGCTGTTCTGCATTTTCAATTCTCGGTGGGTTTTCTTCATTTTGCTACCAATTTTTAATTTTGGCTTTTGGGTTTTTGATTTCGAAGGTAGAATCGATCCGGGCCGGGCTTGAATTTTGTTTTTTTTTAAGTTTTTTTTTCTTGAAATGTTGGTGAATTTTGTAGAAATTCAACAACATTTCATATGTTCATGCATATTGAACTGTTCATATGTTTTCATGCATATTTTGGGGGAAAAATGAGAGGCAGGAAGAAATCAAACTGAATAGGTGGGGGGTTTTCGCCCCTTCTCTAGGGGGGGTCAAATCATGTTCTTTCTAGTGGCGTTTTATTATGACCTGAGATGAATTTTTGGTTTAACTGGTTTTTATTTACTCGTTTTATTATACAATAACCGGTTAAAATCGATCCGCGTGGTGCTTGAATTTTTGTTGTTCGTGAAATGTCGGTAAAATTTTATCCTACATTGACATGTTTCCGGTTTCAAGATTATCGATCGCAATTCGCACTCATTGCACATCAAAACTCTGTTTATATGTTCATGCAAATTGATTTTTCATGAAAATCGGTTTTTTGCCACTTCTCTCGGGTCTAAATCGTGTTTTTTTTGAAATTTGGTTTCTAAGTGCATTGCTTGAATTCTATGTTCGTATCCACAATCAATGATGTCCATGTTA